GGCCATTTCACTTCCTTCCTTGTGAAATGACCAAAGAATCCTTGATTATGGAGGAGACAACCACCGGGTCACTAGGTGAGTCTTGGATCCATTTCCAAAATGACCCCCCCTCTGCAGAGGGGATGGCCTGCCTTGTGTAGGGGCTGTGTATATGTGCCAAAATAAAACTGTGGACAGAGAGCTGTCACTGTGGTCGCAATCTCTTGGCCAAGCGTGGAGAAGGTCATAACGGCTGGTGTAGGGTTGGAATGGGACTGTGAACCTGGTCAGGAGGCAGTCCATGGGGCTCCTGGCTCTCTCCTGGAATGCACCCCAAATTCCACGGGATTCCACTGTAAATAGGAAGTGAAAGGGAGGTGCTGCAGCGAGGATCACCAGTGTCTCCCACGTACACACAGACTCAACACCTCAGGGATCCTCAGGGGTAGCACTCTGGACACTTTCCCTGGTCCCAAAACCCTCAGCTCCCAAGTCAGGGGTCCGTGGCTAGGGCTTTATCCCATCCAGCGGGGCTTGCTTCGCATCCCCAGCGAAGGAGCGATTCCCTTCCCCAGGTAAGCCCCCTGCAGGGGCTTCCCCGAGGCCGCCTCACAGCCAAGTGAGCTTGTGAACACGGAGACGGCTGAGGATCCGAGACAAGGAGCTCGCTCGCTCGGTTTTTCTGGGCCGTGTTTGCCATTTGCGGGAATAAATGAAGCATCCGTAATCTCCATAAAAGAGCTTTCACGCTTCATTCTCTGAAACTAAGTTGGGGCTTAGACGGAAAGAAAAAGAAGGACTTTTAATTTAAAGTAATGATCATCAGCACTCTGGCTCTAGAGGGTCTCCAGGGTAGAAGGAGTGCCCACCCCACCCCGGGAAGCTGGAGGGAGGGCGTCGGCGCCGCGCCTCACCAGGCGGGTCTAGAATTGCTTGGATTGGTGGGCAAATCCAAACGCGGCAGCTCTCCTGGGAGCAGGACAGTGGTACAAACAAGACTCCCTGGGGTAATCGAGGAAGTGGGGGAGCCTCGGGAGCGAGAGATCGGAGATCCTTCCTCCCTGAGAAAGGAAAGTGCGCAATCCCAATGGAGGCCCTGAGGTCGCGGAGGCCACGACTGGGGGCAGCGGCAGTCCTCTTCTGGGGCAGGGGCCTCGCACTTCACGAGGGAACGTCAGCCGTGGTGGCGCCTCCCCCATCTCCGCGCATCTATGGTTGTTCTCACCAGGTGGCCGCTTCTGTTTGGGTCCAAGTTTGCACTTGGGGCGCACAGCACACTCAGCGCCTCCCTTCCCTACCCCGCACCCCCAGGTCCGGTCGAAGGGCCCCAGCAGTTCTGTCCCTGAAAGGGAACTTTGTCACTTTAGCTCAAAGAAAGTGGCGCGGGGGCGGCTACAGCCGTCAAATTGCCCCCTCCTTCAACACTCCCCCAACACTCGGGGCCCCTCACTTCCACGCTAGTCCCCAAACCAACAAACACTGGATTTCTCACTATGCACCAGCAATGAGGTCGGCCCGGGGAGGACATGTTGGAGAACAGATAAGAAACTTGAGGCCTGATGAGCGTGGAACTGCGTTCAGCCGTCCTCGCCGGGGTGTCTGCGACCAGATTCCCGTCGGAGGTTTCGGCTGCCGCCCGCTGAGGCGGAGGCGCTCCGACAGACCCCAACGTCGGGAGGCCGGCGGCGGGGGCCAGAGCGCACTCGGCACGGGCAGCGGGCGCGGGAAACCCAGTCAAGAATCGAGGAACGCGACCCTGCCCAGCCGCGCCCTTCTGGAAGCTCTGCGGGGCCCCGGGGGGCGCCGCCCAGAGAAGACGCAGAGCGAGGGCAAGTTGGCGCCGCTAGTATTACAGATATTCCAAGTAAACAGTGAACCCGAACGGGAAACCGCAGCTGTGCCTAGGGAAGCGAATTGGCCAAGTAACTCCAGAAAAGAAGGAGATGGGAGGTGGGCAAATGTCTGCGCCCTGAAGGTGGTCGCTTTATTAGGGGAAGAGGCTGCAGGGGTCAGGGCTGCTTCTGCAACTTTTCCTCTGCCCAAAAAAGGGTCCCGCAGCGGGGATTTCGGAAGGCGCTCACCTAGTCCGGGACAATTCAGTTGGCGGCCCTTCGCGGGCCGGGTCTGCCCCAGCAGGCACGCAGGAGGCCGGCGTCCGAGCCCTCTGACGCCGGGGCCTCCGGGCTGGCCAAGGCCGCGCAGGGCGCTGAGCCGGCGGGCCGAGCCAGCGAGGGTCTGGGCTCCCCGTGGTGTGTGCGCGCCGGCGCGCCTCCTCTAACCGTTCAGGACAAGTTGAAGCAGCACAAGTATAGTCGGGTCTCCGCAGCCTGGAGGCCCACCCCTCCTCCTTCCTTGTTGACCTCAGGCCCCCGGAGCCACGGTTTGTGCAGCCAAGACTGCAAACCGACGCGCGTTACCGCTCAGTGAAGGGCGCTCCCCCCGTGGCCACGACTTGGGAGCCCCCAAGTCTAAGGAGGAGGGAGCGACTGGAGAACATGGGCGGGGGTGGGGGGAGAGCGTGGCCGCCCCCGAGGTCAGCGATGGGCCCCACGCGCAGGCTCCAGGACGATGGCGGATGGTCCGAGCGCCCAGGCCTCCCTCTGAGCAGCGGAGCGAGGCAGACAGGGGCGCAAACTTGGGAGCTGGGCCAGGCGACAAGGGGAGACGGGGCGCGGGGAGGTGGGAGGAGGCAAGGAGTCGAAGGGACTCCCGGCCGCAACTGAATCCGAGCGGCCAGAGAGGTTAGCCGCAGGAGGGCGGACTCCGGAGCGAAAACGGAAACCTTGGAGCAGAGGACGAGGAACCCAGAGGCCAGGAAGCCCATAGAAAATGACAGAAAGGAAAGCGAACCCTGCCTAGACACAAATCGAAACTGTACAAAGAGCAGTCACTTGGGAGAGCCCGGGCGCAGGGCAGGGTGATGTTGGAGCCTGCGGCCGGAGCGTGGGTCCCGGTCACTTGCCCGGAGCCCGGCGCGAGGAAGTGGCCGGGGCAGCCTTTCCCTTCGGGCCCCAAGGAGCAAATGGGCAGAACCCGCGCCCTGCGCTGGGCGAGTTGTGGTTTCGCGGTTCCTGGAGGGAGGGTGAGCCCTGCATGCTCTCCCATCTCCAGCCCCCAGTGGAGCGAGGGGGCCCAGGGCGGTCTGGGCCTGCAGCCTCGGCCGCGCTGACCGGAAGTGCGTCTGCGAAGCGCCCTGCGCGGACCGTGCTGGGCGCAGGCGGCGCGGTCCGACTGGAGCGAGGCCAAAGTCAGAGATGCCCGGATGGAACGGGCGGTTTCCGCGAATGCAGCCTGGGCGCGAGTGGGCGAGGAGGAAGCGAGGGTAGAAACTGCGGATCATGGGGGAAAGGGGTCGTCTTAATCAGGGAAAAGAAGGGAATCTCCTGGGAACCTGAGACCCGGGTGGAGGGGCGTGCAAGAGCAGGACTTCGGGCCGGAGTTACTAGCTTGAGGGGGAAGTAGAGGGTGGCGCGTGAGAGCTAAGGACTTCTGAGATTCCAGAAGAGAGAATAGCCCTTATCCCTGTAACCCAAGTCAGCGCCGCTCCCTACCATGTGCCAAAGTCTCCATACTGCGGAGATGACAGTGCGCTGCGCGCCCAGGCACGCGGCCCTGGCCTTTTACGATACATAGTTACCGTGTCAACTTTAATGCGGTTTGATGTGACCTTGGCAAAACGACCCTGGGCCTCACTTTTCTCATCTGTAAAATGGGAATGATAATATACCACTCAAAGAAGCGTGAGAGGTTGAATGAAGTAAATTAAGTCAAATAGCTAGCAAGGTGAGCGGTTGGCCCTCTGTAAATAGTGATTATATTACGATTAATTTTAAGTTTCTGGAAGTGTCCTCTTGTGAATCACCTCCACTCTGTGAAATGGACGAGCCCTGCGCAACGGGGGTGAAGGGGGAGGGCGGGGAGAGACCTGCCGAGCTGGGTGCTGGGACTCGCTTTTGTTTTCTTCAGCATCTCCCCTGCCTTCAGCTTGGACGAAGTTGAGACTGTTACAGGCCGCTTCTCCCCAGCCCGACGAGGCCTCGGAGCAGTCACAGAGCTTGATCGGCCGCGTTTCCCACTGCGTTCGCTTGATCAGGTGGCAGAACGGTGGGTCTTCCAGCCACAGTTGGTGGGTCTCTGTCAGGGCCCTAGCCCACTCTCGCAGCGGTTGTGGCCGAATTTTAAATACTCGTGGGTCCCTCTCGTCCTTGGACACCTTCCATCTCGCCCACAGGGGGCTCCCTCCCCTCTGCGCCGTAATTGCTGCTGCGCCTGGACTCCAGGTCTTCGGGCCGCGGGAGGATGAGCGCACCCCTGACGGCGGCGCTTCCAACCGCCGCTGCGCTTGCGTGGTGACAGCGGGCAGGGAGGAATCTGCTGGTGGCTGTTTGTCCTCAAAAGCGTGCTTGTGTTTATAACCCATCCCCGACAGAGCTGACCCTACCCCATTCGCACAGCCAAAAGCCCAGTCAGGAGTGGTTGATCGGAGTCCTCTGTTGAAGATAGGATGTGTATGCCTGACACCCACAGTAAATCTCTGCTTTTCTACAGGCTCACCCGTACCCAGGGTCTTCCATTACTGTGGCCTGAAGTCTTCCCAAATGTCCCAAAGCAAGCCACCCCCATATCTGTGGGGAGAATTCCAGAATGGAAGGGCTTCATTCCACCTCCAGGGTGATACCTCAGTCAGGGAAGGGGGTATTTAGAAGCAGACTCCAGGAGCAAACTGGAACAGCTCATGACTTACCAAGCTCTGGGAGAAAGCTATTTAGGAAGTTTGCTGGGTCCTGCCCTTGGCCTGCCCCGCCCCAGGAGTTACACCTTTGCAGGTGCAGCGGCGTATACATGAGGGTTCTAGCAGCACGCCTGTGTCTCAGCTGGAGTCTCTGGGACCCAGCTGCCTCCAGAGAGGGAAGGGGCTGCCCCTCCTCTCCCCTGGCTGCCCAGACTCCAGTCTTCCTGCCCCCACACAGTCGACCCACCCACCGCAGCCCCACTTCTCTCTGTGGCCTCCATGGAAAGGATGGGGCAGCAGGGATGTCCCTGGCCCTGGAAACTATGTCCTGTCCCTTCACTGACTAGGAGTGAAGCCCACCAGCCGGGTCATGCAGGTGTGTATTGGACACCAGTATGTGTATTCCAGGACCAGGTATAATGTGTGCCGGAAACTTCTGCACAGGCAATATCCATGTGCTTGCTGGGAACACACCTCTATACATCATCCCACTTATATTTTTTGTATACGTGCACATATTTTACAGACGTGTGCATGTATACACATGGGTGAATGTGTGCTTGTGTCCTTTTCTGTGCAGAAGCGCGCACATGTGTGCTGAGTGGCTGTGTGTGCAATGACTACCCACCCAGTGGCACACGGGGAAGAGCACTGGGCTCACGGGAAACCTGAGGGTTTTGCCTCTCACTTGCTGTGTGCTTTGAGTAAGGCACTTTCCTTCTCAAGACTCTCCCCATCCTGTGAAATGAAACCTCTTTATTCAAGAATCCCTGAGGAGCCCCACCAACAATGGGACTTCATTAAAAGACCAGCAGCATTTGGGGAGGAGTCGGGGCTGGCAGAGTCCCCAGCCCTGTCCCTTTCTACAAGTTGCCACACAGGAGTAAACCTCTCACCTGAGTTCACACTGGGAGAGGAGAACAAAGGTCTCTGGTGAGGGTGAGGAGGGGTGCAGCAAGCCCCATGCATGGGAGGCCTGCTGCCTCCCCCAGACAAGTGGACAGGATCTCCACTTTGAACCTGTGGTGACTTGAGCAAAGCTAGGGGAGGACTGACTGCAGGGTCCCCCTGCCCCTCCCTGCCCCTTCTTCTCCAACACAGAAAAAAAAAAAACTAGGCTGACCAATGGAGGAACAGATGACGGCCACTGCAGAGAACCACAGCAGACTCCTCATCTAGGGTGAGGAGTCTGGCTAGGGCCTCTCCGACCCTGGCCTCGGCCTCGGCCTCTGGGTGTCAGCCAAGGCTCACCCCTGCCCCTCGGCTAGGTCTTTTTTACTGAAGGCATCGGGTAGGGGAGGGGAGGCTTGGTGGCACAATGGCCTCCTTGGTGATATCCACTCTGGAAGCCCTGCCACAGGTCACAGGGCTGTAGGGGCCCCGTAGGGGGCAGGCTAGCAGGCCACTCCATCTCTGTGACCTGGGCAGTCCGCCTAGGGGGCCAGAGAACAGGGCACACATACACACACTCACAAACACCAGTCACTACTGGCACCCGTACACCCAAAACACACACTTCCACTTCCCAAGCCTAAATAAATAGACTCAATACCACCCCCATACAAACGCCTGCACACAGTACAACCCACAAATGGATATGCGCACACGGCCATACAACGCAGCTCCACACACCCAAAGTCCGGCTCCTGCCTCCACCCTCATCTGCAGCCTCCTCCTTCTGACCCTACTGAAGGAAAGGGAGCTTCTAGCAAAAACCTTTGCCCTCAGAAAGAGCTAGGGATCAATACTGTTTAGACTCGGCCAGCGTGGATTTCCTCCTGGGCTGAGGAAGATTTAAGTTTATAGTTCAATCCAATCTTAAAAAAAAAAAAAAAAGGTAGACTATGAGGAAGTTGGGAGAGCACACTCCAGTATTTATTTCAATGCAGCGCAGACTTTAATACACAGGCGGCTCACTAAGCCAGCCCCATAAATCAGAGAAATCAATGCCTGTTTATGATTATTATTACTTTCTTTTTTTAGAGGAGGTGCAAGAAAGAGGTCTGACCAGAGTCCTCCTCCCCTCTCCTCTGCCCCAATCGGGAGGAAGGAAACAACGACGGGGGAGGGCAAGAAGATAGGAAAGTCATCGTGGACAATGACTTCTCTGGGCCTTGGCCAGATTCCTGAGGTAAAGGCAGCTGTAACAAGTAGATGCGACATAGACCAAGATACACAGCCACAGAGGAGGCACGGACCACACGTTTAAGCCCTCAGAACTTCAGTTTCCTCCACAGAACAATGAAGAAAATTCTATTTGCCCATAGTGATTGGAAGATAAAAGGTGATAATGGGCAAGAAATCACATGACAATAATAACACCTCCATACACTTACTAATAGAGTCATGGGGGGTAACCACCTCCTCCCTCTCCCCCTGGGTTAAGGGGGGAAGCTCTTAGCTTTGAGCTCTTGGAATAAGTGAAGAGGCGCCTGAAGGAACAGGATGCTTCCTGGAACTGTTTAAGTTGGCCCCCGTCCTAGCCTCTGAATCTGGTGATCTTGAGGGGCTAAGGTATCCTAAGGGGCCACAATGGGGAAGGGAGAAGGAAGGCAGCCCAGTTTCCAGGCGCTCATGATGTGAAGCCCTCTGCAGAGCTGGCACTCTCAACACTGCATCTGGGTGTGGCCAGGACCCTTCTTGATGTCTGAGCTGTCTGGGCCAGGAGAGGGGTACCTTGGGCCCCTGGTCTCAGGCCCTGTAACCTGTAGGCCTGCAGAGGGCAAAGATTCCAGGCTCCCCTCCCCGCCAAGGGAAGGAAGGGATGTACCTCCAACCACCAGAAAATGACTCTCCTGGGCCATCCCAGGGCAGGCCCATCTCACTGCTTCCAACGCTCCACGACAGGACTGGTGGGGCACCTGTTAGGGGCAGAGGTTCCGCCACGCGCCCCAAGGACGTGTGAAGGGGGTGGAAAGAAGAGATTTACAGCAATAATGTCGGGAACCCATGGAAATGTCCAGTGTGCCCTCCAACTCCGGGCCACCAAACCCCAAGCCCCCCAATCCTTGAGCAGGGACTTGGAGGGCCCCTTGACTTCCCGGACTTGGACCTTAGCAGTGTCACTTCCCCAGACATCGCCCCAAACCAGGGGGACTTTTTCAAGAAAAAAGACAGAAGGAAGGACTGGCCATTCTCACTTCTCACAAAGTCAATCCTGCATGGACAACAGGAAAGAAACCCAAGAAGGGAAGAGCACAGGAACAGAGTTCCCATGTGTGCAGGAACCCCACAAACACACCTGCAAACATTTTGGCATGCAAACACAAATGAGCACATGTACCCACACGGTGAACTTGCAAACATCCAAGTGTGCATCGAATCTCAGAGAAATGAACACAACACTCACACATGCAGGGATACACAAAACCGAGTCAGTACTCCACATCTGCATATGATCACACATGCACACAAGCGTCTGGAACACCTACATGTCTAGCCACACATGTACAGGTACATACATACATACCTACTGCAGAAAAGAGGATGGAAGGGGCGAGTGGAATTTACCATTTAAAAAAAATCCTGGACAAAAGGGAGATGATGCCCCCCGAGAAGGGACCTCCCCTCCTTTCTTCTAGTCTGAGTGTCCCACTGCCTGCCCAGGAAGAATAGGCCCCAGGGTGGGGGGGCAAGAATCGAGACATTTGCCTCTGGGAAGTTGCATCGTCCTGAGGGTCCTGGGGGCTTGTATCTGCGCCCCCCTCTGTCAGGCAGCAAGCCAGGCTTTGTTGGGATTCTGAGAGGGACCCTGCTTAGGTCTTGGGTCAGGCCCAGAGCAATCCCAGCATCTGTCGCTTTGCATAGGTTCCAGGCATCCGGGCCTCCTCTCCCCCGGCTCTGCGGGCCCATGAGATCCAAGCCCCGCGAGGCTCCGTGTGCCGTCCTCCACCCGCCGCTTCGCCAATGGAATCACTTCTCCAAACGAAGAGCAGCGAGGTCCAGGCGGCCCCGGGCAGAGGTGCCCCTTGCCCTAGAGGGCCGCTCAGGACAGCAGGCGGCCCTCACCTCTGTCTCGCCCTGGGAAGGCCTTCTGCTTCTACAGGAGAAAACCGCAAGCAAAACCCGCACCAGAAAAAAAGGAAAAGGAGTGGTGCAGGCTGAAGCGAGGAGCAGGTGACGGGAGGAGGCCGCAGCCGGCTGGGCCCGGCCTGGCTCAAGGAGCAGCCCCACAGCCCGGCAGTGTCTCCGAAGTCAGGACTGGGGGGACCTTTGGGCTCCTTCGAACGCAATCGGAGACCAGGCATGTCCCGCCAGACCCTGCAGACCCGGACCCTACCCGGATCTTGCCGCCTCCACCACCGCGCTCCCGCCGCCCCCGTGTTCGTTGCGCGGGCTGCCCCGGGCTCCCCGCCCGGCGAGTGCGCGCTGCGCGCGGGGCCGCCGTGTGCCCTGCGCCCACGCCCTTCCCGAGCCCGCAAAGACGAGGGCCGCCAGCGGCTCGTGAGCACAGTGTACACTTTATTTCAGACTACAGGTTTCTGAACATAATAAAATCTTTGGCTTGTAGCGGCGGTTCAGTCTCGCAGTCTGTGGGGTCGTATTTCTCAACATGTCTCCGGAAAACGAAAGGTGGGGGCAGGACAGACAGACCGACAGTAGGGGCCTGGGAGGTGGGGGAGAGGCGAAGGGCAGACACGCGAGGGAACACACTCTCACGCACACAAAGAAAAGTCCCAGAGAAACCAGGGCCAGCGATGCGGGGCGGGAGGCACCGGAGAAGCGATAACATTCAAAAGAAAAAGGCAACGAAAACGAAACTGGGCCGGGGGCAGCGAGGCGGAGGTGGGGGACAAAATAATTATAATAATTATAATAATTATAACAATAATAATAAAGGAGATTCATAAAAAGTCCAGCAAATAGAGATCGCTACACATATTTCTTTTCCTTACCTGAAATTAAATATATACAAGGTCGTAAGCGGTTTGGCTAGATAGAGCTTTAAGGAGTTCGCAGCTTCGTCCCTTATACTGTGAACAGAGAACAGATCGTATTTTTCGATAGCACCTGTCCGAGTCTTTCTCCCTTTTTAAAAACGTTTCGTTCCAAGGTGATTCGTGATTCTCCATTCAGAGGAACTCTTTCTCTCTCTTTTCCCTGTTGCTCCCTCCCTCCTCTGCGATGAGTATTTGTGCCCGGCGTGGGGCCGGGGAGGCGGCGGCGGCGGGGCCAGGAGGGGGCGCGGGCGCGGCGGCCGGAGCGCGCGGCCCCAGCCGGCGGCGGCTACTCGCTCTCGTCTTTGTCCTGGACCGTGGTGGTAGAATGGTTGTACAGTCCCTGCGCCATGAGGTGCAGCGCCAGGCCGTTCTTGATGCCCGTGGCCTTCTTGATCTTGGCGCGCTTGTTCTGGAACCAGATCTTGATCTGGGACTCATTGAGGCTGAGCTCCTGGGCCAGGGTCTGCCGCCGCTGCTCCGTGATGTAGCGGTTCGCCTGGAACTCCGCCTTGAGTCTCTGCAGCTGCTCGGCCGTGAACGCCGTCCGCGGCCGCTTGTCCTCCTTCTCGTTCTTCTTCTTCTTCAGCTTTCTGGTGCGCGGACCTGCAGCGGCGGAGAGGGCCGGTGGGGGTGGGGACGGAGGGCAGAGGGGAGGGGGAAGAGGGCAGAGGAAGCCGTGAGAATTGCAGAGCCAGCGGGGATCGCGCCCGATAGCGGAGGCCCTGCTGTGCCCCCGACGCCCTCCCGGCGGCTAGCCCCTGGATCAATCGCCTGGCTGGTGGGGTCCCCGAGTTCCCTTCTGGGGGGCCAGAAGGGCCGCGCAGGAAAGCTGGCCGAGGTTGTAGGTGCACCTCACACTTCAATTCAGAACAGGAGAGCCCTGTGACAGGCTTAAATCACAGAATCCAAGATGGAGAGAGATTTGGAGCTCCATCAGGCCCAGCCCAGAGTTGGAGATCAGGAGACTGCTGTCTTCACAGCCCTGGAATAAAAAGAGGCTCAAGACGGGCAGCGAAGACACTGGGGCAGGATTGCCCCGGGAGAATGCCAGCCTGCATTCTCTAATGCTCCCTTGCTCCTCAAGAAGCGCACCTACACCTGGGTTCCTACAGTAAGAGCCCATCTGCTTGTAGCTGTCCACCCAGAAAACAAGGGGATGCAGAGGGGGCCGTGAGAGGTTGCCTAGCTCGAAAGGATTTGTATCAGCTCTATCTTTTCTTTCTTTTTGGCTTAAACGAAGCCCTTTCTAGGGTCTCACACAGAAACACTGACTACTCCCTTCTCTGAAGGGGGAGAAAGGGCCTTCACCCAGTTGCATGACTTACCCACATGACCCTGATCCCTGGGTTCTCTGCTTTGCCCCTCGCATGGTGCCAATAAGAAAGAGAGGGCTCTCCCCATTCCTCTACTCAGCTGCACAGGCCGGGTCTCCCTTATCTCCTTTTTGAACACAGGCTGAAATTTCAGGATTGAAAACTCCCGAATAACAAAAACAAGCCAGCTCTGCTTTCCCTGCTTACCTATGCCATTTGCAAGAAGACTACATCCTCCTCCCCTGTCTGTGAACAAAATAGGGGCAGAGCGACAGGCACAGAAGGACAATCCCAACAAAAATCTGTGCTTTGCCTTAAGATGGATATGGGAAGAGGCTACAGGAAATCTCCCCAGGAAGGTGCAGTCTCCCTCAACAGCTAGTCTGGGAAGAGGGCTGCTGTGGGTCCAGCTCTGGAGAACGGAAGAAGACAGAGGAGGCAGGCCGTAAAGCCCACACTTCTGTCCACCAGCCTCCACACCCAAGGCTCTGGCACTTACTCGCTGGGCCCTGTCCTGGTTATGGGAGCTTACTGAGCCAAATTAGGTCCCTGTCAGGCCCGTTAATCTCCAAAATGGTCAGGAAGGAAGGGTCTTCACTGGCATCTCCAAGTCTAGCAATAGAGGGCCTGGGCAGCTGGCTCCTGAGGCAGACCAGTGCCTGGGGTCACCAGCTGTCCTGTGACACAAGGGTCCAGGCCTGGATGGCTGCAGCGACTCAGGTCTGGGTTGAGGTTCATCTCCCTGAACTGCTCATACAAGAGAAGGAGCCAGTGCCCTATGTCCCCAGACCCCTAAGAAGGAAAGCGGCCAAGAACAAAGACAAGGCCCGCTCCTGAGCGCGGTGCAGAAAGCACTGGAAGGCGGTGCGGAGGGAGGAAGGCCTGGCTTTAGATTAGTAATTAGCTGAGCGGGCAGAGATGACCCAGGAAATGTGCCTTTCCCCAGAAAGGCCCCGCCGCGCGTTGTGCGTCCAGGACGTTGTTAGAGTGTTGTGTGTGTGTGTGTGTGTGTGTGCGCGCGCGCGCGGAGGCACGGACACTTGTAATAAAATCGTAGCCTCCCGGCCAGCCGAGCCGCACGGCCTGACAGCTCAATCACTCTATCCATCAGGCGAGTCAATCAAAGCAGCTTTTCGGAGGTTCAGGGAGCCGGACGTGTCAATAACGGGGCTCGAGATGGCGGGGGCTGATAGCGCGCATCGATCCGCGCCGGCCGGCAGCCGTGGGGAGGCTGAAGACCAGCCGGAGTAAGGCGGCACACCAGTTCCCTGTGCCAGGCCTCCCGCCGGACCCGGGTGCCCGGCACCCCTATGGTGGTCCAGAGCCCCTGCCGCCCTCCTTGCGGCGCCCACCGGGCTCCCTGGCGCTGTCGGCCGGGAAGGCGAGCAGGCCTCGGCCTCCTCCCCCCGGGCCTACTGGCTGTCCCGGGGCAGATCCGGGCTTCGGATTCTCCAAGGGCAAGAGACATGCGGAAAAAGGGCCGAAGGAAAGTCGAGATAAAACGGGCTTACGGCTGGCGGAAGGAAATCTGCTAACTGGCAGATGTGCAGCAGAAAGGAGTGAAAGAAGGAAGGGGCCGGGCCGGGCAGGGAGGATGTGGGAGCCTGGGAGCCGTGCCGCGGGGAAGCTGCGGAGGAGGCTGGCTCTCCTGCCCTCGGCTCCTGTTTCTGGGCTGCGCCTGACCTGGCTTCTCTCCTCTCCCACTGTCTGTCTGTCAGCTCCAGAGAACCAGGAGCCAGGGGCTTTCCGCACCCACCGTTTCGGCAACCGCCTTTCCCTGGATCGTACCCACCCGGATCAGACTCTCTTGGCGACCCAGCCCGGGGAATAGGGACAGTGATCAGACGCTTTTCTCTCTGTTTATGCTCAAATCTCTCTCTATGTAAATGAACTCTCCTCAGAAAATACCGAGATGGTATTTGTGTCTGTAAGAACATAAGGTGAAGATTATTTCTCTGATCAAAGCCTTCCTGGATTTTGGCCTCCGCAGGACCAGGCTGACGAGATTTCAGACCCATATTCCTAGGCCCACTTTCCCGCTGCCTCTAAACACCCCTTTCCCTGGCAGAAAAGTCAAAGACTGATTGCGTCTTTCCTAAGAATAGGAAAGGTAAAACACAAAGAAGGCCCGAGGGCTTCGGAGTCCAAAACCGAAGAACCCAGACTCGAGCTCCCCGTGCCCTGAACTGTCGCCTCCCTGGTGATGGCTGCAGAGGCCAGGAGCGCAGATCTGGGTCCACACCCGGTTTTGACGGGGACCGAGAGTGAGCCTCGAGGAGGAAGCAGGCTTGAGAGAAGCGAGCGCCCGAGGCCGGGTTTGCTCTCCCCAGCACGGCGGCTGCGAGTTCGGGGGCGTCCGCGGGGTGGAAGGCATGGCGCAGCCTGCGGTTGAGTACTCACCGGAGGACGGACGATCCGAGTAGCGCGTGCAGTAGACCCAGGCGGGCCACACGAGGGGCTGCTGCGAGTCAGTTTTGACCACGGGCCCGCCGTTGGCTGAACCCATAAGCAGGATGGCCGGGTTGCCGTGCTCCGGGTATTTGGCACTCTGCGCACCCGGGCTCCCCACGCCGCCTCCACTGCCGCCGCCGCTGTCCGAAGGCTTGGCCGCTGCTGCTGCCGCCGCCGCCGCCACGGCCGCTGCAGCCGCCGCCGCCGCCGCCGCCGCCGGGTTCCCAGCTTTGGACGCGCCCGCGCCGCCGCCGGCAGCTGGCGGGGAGCCGTCGGGTGGGCCACAGTTCGCATCCGGGGCGCACAGGAGCGAGGCTGCGCTTGGCGCCCGCGTGCCCAGCGGGTGGACAGGGTCTCTACCTGCGCCGGTCTGGCCTCTGTCACGCTCCACCCGGCTTCCTCCTGCGCCTCCTCCGGCCGCCGCCGCCACCAGGAGCTGCGGCGGCGGCTGCTCCTTTTTGCAGCCGAAGTCCGGCCTCAGGATGTTGTCGATGAAAAAGTTGGTGGTGCGGTGCAGCTGGGCCGCGGGTTGCGGCTGGTGAGCAGGCGCCGCGAGATGCGGCTGCGGCGGCGGCGGGGGCGGGGGATGTGGGGGGAGGTGCGGGTGGTGGGCCAGGGGCGGCAGGCAGGGCGCCGCGGGCGGCGAGGGGGGCGCGGGCTGCGGAGACACCGGCACGCTGTCTCCATCGCTGCCGCTGCTGCCGCTGGCGCCGGGGCTGAGGCTCAGGCTGAGGCTGCCCGGGGCCGCCGCCACCGCCGCCGCGCCAAGGCCCGAGTCGCGCTGACTTTTAGGTTCCGGCTGCTGTTCTTCCATGCTCGGCCGCCCCGCCGCCCCGGCCGCCGCGCCGGCCCCCGCCCCCCCCGCCTCGCTCCCCACCCCACTTTGCCAGCGGCCCGTGGGGGTGCGCGGAGGAAGGAGGCCGGCGAAGCCCCAGCGAAGGCACGGGGCGGGTGCAGGAAAAAAGCCCAGGCGCCTGGCCTGGATCGCTCGCTCTTATCGAGCAGATAGATCTTGCTGTCTCTCCCTCTCTCTAATTTGTAGACATCCAGATATGGAGGCACTTGGCTATTTCTTTTTTCTTTCTGCAACCAGATTCAATGATTTGTTTTAAATGGGGAGTAAGCCACGCCAAAAAAAAAAAAAAAAGAAAAAGAAAGAAAGAAAAAAGAAAGCAAGAAAAAAAGAAAAAAGCTCCAAGAATTATTTTTCTTAAAAGAAAAAAAAAATAGTCTTTAAAGTCTAGCCATCTTCCTAGGCAGTAGTGAGGGGTTTGACTTCCCCGAGTGTCACGCTCAGCTGTGCCCAGAGCGCGAGGCTGGCAGTGCCTTTAATCGCCTTTGCTTTTTTTGCAGGGAGAGCGCGTCTCCGCCAGCGCCGGGGCTGCCTTTTTTTTTTTTTTTTTTCAAATCTCTGACAGCTCGGATCTTTGCACAAACTCTCTGGCTTAAAAAAAAATCACCCAGGCACACTTTTTGCCTTCAAACCGGAAGCACGTGAGTCAGGGCCGCACGTGTGCGGGGCCAATGGCGAGCCAGGACTCTCGCTGACACCCGGGCCTTGGCCCAATGGGCGCCCGCGGGACTTTGCGGATAAATAATCCGGGGGCGGCGGCCGCGGGCGGAGAGGGGGCGCCGTGGCGCTGGCCCCGCGCGTCCGGCTGGCCCTCCCCGACACGCACTCGAGCCCCTCCCCCTCTTTCAGGCCCGGAGCGAGGAAGGGGCAGAGGAGACCGAGGAGGGGTGGGTTTCGGGGTGTAGGCAAATAGAGAAGCAACTCCATAAACAACTTGTTGGAGAAATGCAGGATTATGGGTGCGTGCGCGCCGGGCGCAGGGTCAGGAGGCAGGGGCCTCGGCTCTTTCGCACCCCCACGCCTAAGAAACTCAGCCTTTTATTTTCTCTCTCTCTCTCCTTCTTGCTATTATGAAGGGTGAAAGGTTGTTGTCACTGTCCGTGTGTGTGTGTGTGTGTGTGTGTGTGTGTGTCTGTAGTCGTGGAGGAGGGTGATACCAGGAGGGTCGGAGATATGAAATAGACCTAGAGTTGGTTACTTGCAGAGAAGCAGTTTATTTTTCGCAAACAGCAAACCCTGCAGGCTAGCTGCTCCTAGCTGGCATCGTCTGTTTGTAGGTTTACAGTGCGTGCCGGCCAGCCGACCTATGTGTCCTTTCCGCGGTATCTGCACCCATGCCCTTCCCTGTCCGGACCTTCGACAACCCCCAGGAGCTGTCCTGGCGCCATTAAGCCAGGCCCAGAGGGCGCGAGAGAGCCGGAGCGCCAGCTGCACCGGGCGCCTGTTCCTCCCTGGCCGCTGGAGTCGAAGCTGTCTGGGCATCGTCGGGTTATCCCGGGCGGGTCCCCGGGCCAAACAAGTCAGGGTGCGGATGCGCGCGAGGCCCCAGCTTTTGGGTTCAGGGCAACCTCAGTGTTAGATTTTTCTGCAAAGTGAAATCAAACAAATAAAGTACTGCAACCTTGGTGTTTGCCCTGGCCAGCTGACGATGTGGACAGCGAGTTTCCCCCGGTTGCCCACATTTTCCTGGGGTTGCTCCCGACTCCCTGGAGGCCTCTGGTTCTAAGACCCTTGCGTGTTCTTCCCACGCTTTGGGGGGACTGCAGGGACTCCCGCCGCTCCCACCCTCACAGAGATCTGTCTCCAGTTCTTGGGGCTCTTTTTCGCTGTTTCTTGGTTAAGGCACCCCAAAAAGTTCTCGCATCTCCAGGGATGGGGTGGTGGGAGGTGAGACGCTGATCACCGGTGGGGTTTGTCCGTTGAGCCGTTTTGGAGGGCCAGTGTCCGACTGTGTGCTGAAGCCTGCGGTACGGGAGAGTGGCTAGAAAGGCACGGGCAACTGAGGCCTTCGCGGGGATGTTACTCGGAGCTCCAGCGAACCTGTTCGCCCTGACCACCATTCTCAACTGGGACGGTGGAGAAAGGATCTCTTTGGAGAAATTGGTGGGAGCATGCAAAATAATCCCCCAGTGCCCAGAAAAGTCACAGAGGGTTAGGAGGAAAATAAAAGAAAAACCACAAGCTGAACCACCTCAGTAGCAGGAGTTTCTCAGAGGGGCTGGTGGGGAGCGGGAGTGCATATTGCTAGCTGCATCTTCGGGTCAGCCGAGGGTCTTGCGATACCCGGGGCTCTCGCAGCTCCTAGTTAGACCTGCCCGGCGGCCAGGGGGCAGCGAGAACCACTTTCCAGAGCGTTGCTCTAAGCGGCCCCGCCACGGTCTCCTCAACGCCCCTCCCAACCCCACCTTGGAGTCTCCAGGGTCCTCTTCAGTTCCACGCCCAAGGGCTCCCCGAAATCTGCCGGCGCCCCCACCCATTCTCCCCGAAATGGGGGTGGGATTTTATTTATATTTAAGTTCGCAAAATTGAAATCTTTATCCCGCAAGCGAGCGTGGGTACTTAATTAAATTCTAATTAGGACACTATCAATATCCTATTTAGCCGCGTAGCTTTTGTGCACCGCGGTCCCTTTCAGCGCCGTAAATAGGGTCTCGACGCCTTATCTCGCCTGCAGGAGACGCCTCGAGAAGGGCTGCGGAAGATAATTTATAGGTTTTAATTACTCTTCATTCCGCCTGATCAGCTTGGCGTTCATCACAGGCCTGTGAATAAAACCCTGGTCAAAAGCTCTGTCACATCGCGCTGGCAAGACGCTTAATCAAAGTGAGCGGCCCCGCGCGCCGCGCGGCCCGGCTCCTCCACGTAATTTCCAGCCAGCTGATAAAGCCAGCTGAATAATGCGGCGGCCCTTTGGAGACACCATTTACAGAAATGACTTTATTGACGGCTTAACGTCGGTAATTCATTTTACCTTTCATGTAGTGGAGCCCGGATTTGTTACAGTAATGGGATGATAAATGCACCCGCGGCCCACGAGCTCGGGCTGGATTAGGCGGCGCTTTGCGCGCTGGTTCGTCCCCCCTGCCTCCCCCAGGCCAGGCCTGCGCCAGCCGCACCTAGCGCTGCCGGCTCTCCAGGACCCCCACCCAGGCCCACGCCCTTACGCTCCTTACTGAAAATGAGCATACTATTGGGAACTCGGTGTTAGCGGGTTGGTGTCCTGGCAAGCCTGAGGGTGAGGTGTGTGAGTGCTGACAGTGAGCAAACGGTGGCCGAGGTGGGCGTGTGAGGGGTCCAGAGGACTCGGAGTGAGCCCAGAACTGGGCATGTGGGTGAGGAAGGACAGGCAGGGTGAGTTGTGTGTACAAGTATGTGGGTAAAGGGGTTGGGGCTGTGTGGAGCAATGTGTGTGCGTGTGTGAGTGCATTTTCGTGGTAGTCTTTTTTCGGGGTACTCATAGAAACCTCTGGAAATTGAGGAATTTCTTCCAGCTTGATAGATGTCCAGGTGGGGATGGCAGGGAGGTGGGTTGGCAGGAAGCAGGCAGGGGAGTCTGCCAGGAATGAAATGGAGCCCTTCTCAAAACGCCTTCTGCTCCTGGGCCAAAGCTATGGAAGTTTGGGGGCCCCCAGTGCCCATTTCCATTGCCTCAGAGTTCTGACCTGTGCAGTTCCCCTGGGGCAGGAGGCCCCACAGAAGGCTACTGACCTAATCTCATCTCTGCAATAAATTGTCCCCAAGTTCTGCTTCCATATCCAGCCCACATAAAAGTGGAGACTGACAAGAAAGAAAACGATTTTGTTTTGTTTTAAATGCCAAAGAGGGGGGAAATGCCCTACGATTGCTTTCGCCACTTGGAGGAAGAAGGGGCCTGGAAAAGGCTCAGCGGTGGAAGGTGGGGTAAGTAGGACAGGGAGAGACCCCCATGCCTCCTGCCTCTGTCCCATTCCCAGACTTCTCCATTCTCTGCTGCTCACCAGGGGCTTCCATGGAGCAAAAGGCACCTGGCCAAACAGATGGGGAGAGTGTCTTTGTGTGTTTAGGGAGTGCTAGAGAAGTTTGGGGCTCACAGACTAGGAAGGCTGATGAGTGTTTCTCAAGGTGAAGGCTGAGAAATTGGACCTTTGCTTCTCTCCTTTCCCAATCTTGCAAAGATCACTTATCGATTTGGGATTTGGAGAGTGGCCCGTGGCTGTGGGGCCCGGAGCCTGTATTTGTGCCTATTTGCTTGTGTATGTGAGAACCACAGAGAGAGAATCAAGTCTGCAAAAGCACTGTTTGTGTGTCTGTGTGTATTTGTGTGCAAAAGCACTGTTTGTGTGTCTGTGTATTTGTGTGCAAAAGCACTGTTTGTGTGTCTGTGTCTATTTGTGTGCATGGCAGGAGGCTGGTGTATACACACGTTAGTGTCCACCCAAGTCTGCCTCACCAGTTGGGTACGGAGAAAAGCGCTCGCTGAGGGTTTTGGTGTCTGCTGTTCAAAACAATCTCCCACCAGCCTGCATTTCCGCAGGATTTTGGATTTCGTTCAGTCAGAGACAAATGTCATAGTCCTGCCTGCTTCCACCTCTCTTTTGAGGATGGGTTTGAAGAAGAGAATTGCGAAAGGAAACTGTGCAGCCTGGCCAGGCGTGTGCGCGATGGGCCGAGAGTGCGAGCATGTTGCATGCACACGGTGGTAATCGCATTTCGAGTGTAGATCAGATGGCGGTGGGGCCTCGTGGCGCGGGACATGAATGAGTTGTCGCAACACAATAGCGCACAGCCTTCCTACGGGGACTGGGTGACCAGCGGTTTTGTTGGGAGTGAATGCGAGGAGATTTCTGCTACAAGTGCCGCGGTATTATTATGAGCCGGAAGGTCAGACTATACATCGCAGGTCCCCAAAGCCTATAGACCTTGGGAAATGTGGGGCCTCGAGCCACGTCATTGTACCCGACAGTCCTTTCAATAGACTAATTCAATTAGCGCTCGGGGTTTTGGTCTTCATTTGGAGGCGATAATAATGTGGGGGGGGGTGGGTGGGTGCAGGGCGATTCCTTGGGTATTGGTTAGGGATCCTAAGCAATTCTGCCGCAAGCTCGGAGTGGGACTCGGGGAGGCGGGGGAAGGGAAAAAGCTGCGGTGGGTGGGGGGTGCGTGGGAGGCAAACCGTGGAAAATAAAAAGCTCTGTTGCCTCTCGAAATTGGGGCGGCAGCTTTGTTTGTAGATGGCCCAGAAGACTGGGGATGGGAGGGTTGGGGGGAGGCAGAGAGAATTTCTTTTTTCTGTGTGCATGAAATACGCCCATAAATGTCCAAGTTCCTAGAAAGCCGGAAAAAAGCCTGCTGTTGGAGGTTGTCACCTTTGGGGAGTTCAATATTTGGGTGTATGTCCCCACCATCCCGCCTTCCCTCAGGGTTTTCTCCCTTTTATCCGAGGGAGCAGTTCACAGCACGGACCTTTTTGTTCTAGAAACAGTTTTGTTTGTTTGTTTTCCTCTCAAACCCGGACAAGCTGAGAAAATTAAGCCCTCTCTCTTCTTGACTGTGGGAAATGGGCGAAATCTTTCAGTGATCTCTGTAAATTGCTCCTGGTGGTCAGGATTCGGAAAGGGTTCTCGGGCCCTGGTTTCCGCGTTGAGCCGGCCGACCGCCTGCGGGGTCGGCGTCGGGAGTCCCGGACGCCAGGGCGCGAGCCGGGTCGCTGGGGGCGGGTTGACCAGCTGGGTTAGGGCTGCGGGGGATGTTGGGGGGCGAGATGCAGGGCCCCCTGGCTCGGATTAGGAGAAAGGGAGCCTTCACCTTCTGCTCTTCATCCCCAAACCACTCTGGAGCTGTACCATACAGCCAGCCAGGCCCCTGGAGCCGAGGGTATCAGAGCTCTCGGCTCCCAAAAGCAAGGCGAGTACACATACTTCCCTGTATACCATCCTTCACTTTAATCAGACATGCTCTTTTCTCCTAACACTGAATTCCACCCAAACCCCAGAACTGAAACCTTAACGGTCGTCCTCCCCCCTCAAAAAAAAAAAAAAAAAAAAAACCCGGAGTAAATTCAGCGTCTACGCTCGAATTTTCTTCTCTCCTTTATTTTGCTTTTCTCCCTCTCTCACCCACCTCCTCCTCCCCAGAAGGTTCCTGAGCCTGGCGCCCCCGGGCCGAGGGGACCCTTGCCCACCCCAGTCCCCACCTGTCCGAGTGGCGGCTCCCGCCTCGATCCTGCTGGGCGCGGGTCGGGGTCCACACCGACTGGCCTCGAGCGTGTGCACGCCGGTGGGGACAAGGGTGAGAGCGAGTGAGGAGGGGCTGGCGCGGCTTCCGGGCTCTGCAGCCCCCCTCGGCTCAGTCCGTGCTCCCTGAAGATCCGGAACCAACTCCAAAAGTTGGGGCCAAAAAAATAACTGGAGAAAAGAACAAAAAATCCAAGTCCTTTGCGTAGGAATGGCTCTGTGGCTCCAACACCGTGTCCTTTAGCTTGCCCCCGAGTTAACTGTCCTCCGGCTCCTTGCCTTGACTCCTGCAGGGGTGAGGGCTTGTCCCGGGGCTCTTCTCCCACTGACCCGGGAAAAGGAAGCAGACGTCCGCGCACCCAGCTCGCGGCGCTCAGGTTGCCTGCCGACGCCTTCCCGCCTCCCTCCCCGCTGGCCCCGGAGAGCGAGCCTGGTCGCGCCCGGCTCTCGTCCTTGGGGGTGCAGCAACCCGACCCTCCACCCGGGGAGGATGCGGGGAAAGCCCCGGGTTCCAGCCGAGGCCGGCGCGGCGGGGGTCTGGCGGGGAGGTATGGGAGGGAAAACTTTAGTCCGGAAAGGGCGCGGGCGGGGCAGGGGACACTCAGAAGCCTGGGAGTGGAGAGGGAAAGAGGGGCGAGAGCCGGTGTGTCTCCCCCTACCCTGCCCCACCTCCTTCCTCAGTCCAGATCGCCTGCGAGTGAGGTGGGGGGGAGCGGTCACTGCAGCACCGAGGCCTTCCCGGGCCCCCATCCCTGTCCGCTTGCTCCTGCAGAAGCCGGGGTGGGGGACGAGTGTGCGGCCGCGCGCGTGCGTGTTTGCACGTGATTCTGTGTGTGAGAGACTTCAGGTGAGTGCGTGTGTGTGTGTGTGTGTGTCCGAGTGTGCATGGAGCGTTTTTTGTGTTCCTCTAATCCTCGTGTGTTTGCGCTATATCCTTGTGTGCAAGCGTTAAGTGTGTGCATGGCCTCTGGGCCGGTGTACGTGCTTGTGCGTGTCCATGTGTGCGTGGTGCGCGAGAGCAAGACGGAGGCTTTGGAAGTGAGGGATGTGAAGTCGCAAAGACCAGAGGGCTCTGACCCCAAACCAACCGCCCACCTCCCACCCCCACCCGGTCATTGGTCATTGAACTATGCAAGGGCAGAGGAGACAGTCGCGTAACCGGACTAAAATGGCCACTGGTTTTCGGTTTTCCACAAAGACCCGCCTAGGCAATCCGGAAGCCCCTAAACCCTGATTGAGGGGAGGGTGGGCAATACGTGGCAAGGTTAAGCAAAAAGGGACCTCAGAGAGAGCGTAGACCAAAAGCCCACTCCACTGATGAGGCAACAGAGACCTGGAGACGGAAGCGACTAGGTCAGGGTCCCACAGAGGCCCTCACTGGTCTCAGGGCTCCAAACCCAGCTCGGGAGACCTGGCATCTGAGTTCCGTCCTGCCGCCTAAGTCACTAAGAGTGCAGGGGATGGTGGTCTCTTTCCTCCGGGCTGCCAACCCCACTCCATTCACCTCCCTGTAAGGTTCACTCTCTTCTCTCTCTCTCTCTCTCTCTCTCTCTCTCTGTGTGTGTGTGTGTGTGTGTGTGTGTGTGTGCGCGTGTGTGTGTGTGTGTTGGAGAAGACGGAGGTAGGATCTCTTAGGACTGGGAATGCAGTGAGAGGCCAGGGGGAGACACAATCCCGCCTCTTGTCGGGTCCCACTGAGGCCCTATGTTTCCTGTCCCCTTCCCGGGGGGTTAGCAGATTCCTCCCCCCCCCCCCACTGGCTTTCAGAACTTTCCAGGCGTGAATGATACTGTTAGGGTGGGAGGTCGTGAGGGAAAGGCTGGCTTCATTTCCTGCGGTGTGGGGTGGGGTGGTGGTGGAATACTGACCCCAAAGCCATTCCAGGCACGTCCCTCCCCTCCCGCGCGAGGACTCCAGTCCCAAAATTGTTATGCAAAGGACTCAAGTATGTGATCTTCTGGCGATCAAAGCGGCGGAGCCAAATATTACAGGAGAAGTCAATAATGGATGAGCAGATTAAGAAACCTATCTCGCGGACAATTATCATCGCAAATGAAAAGCGCCCTCCTTCCCTTATTCTTCGCCCCCACCCCCAATAGAGTATAAAAGAAAAAAGTAGGCGGAAGGTGGGGGCTGGGGATGGTGGCAGAAGCAGGCAGCAACCCAGCGCGCGTGAATGAGTGGGTACGTGGACGTGTTTGTTGAGGGGAGATAACGCCCCCTAGGGGTGACCCCCGTGGGTCCCGGCGTTTTCTCTGGCCTAGCGGGTAGAGCCTTGCCTTCTGCACCCAACGCTCATTTGCTCCTTAAAATACAGAGAGCGAGGCCGTTCTGAGCCAGAGGGCTAGAATCAGGGCTTCTGGGGTCTTTTCTTTTCAAACCTTCCAGCTCCCAGCCTGAGCTGCCCCGCTACACCCCTTCCTGTCCAGGGCGGGGAGGGACCCTAGGCGGGAGGTTAGGGCGGGGAGCGGGGTCGGAGGGGCGCGAGCGGATTCCCGGGCGTTTTTCCTGTGAGGGACGCGCCACCTGTCGGTGCTGTCGAAGAACTGCACTTGTGTGATGCTCTCTGGTTGGCGAGGCTGTGGGAGAGGTTTGTGTTTGAAGTCCGGGCAGGAGTGGGAGCGATCCGGCCACTTTCCTGACAGCCGACGCCTGACCCGGGAGAGAGAACGGGGTTTCGGGAGGGGAATCCTTCTTGGGATCCCCTCGCCTCGTGAGAGCCAAAGCAGGAGAGCAAAACCCATGGAGGACTGTTTGCACTATGATTCAGAAAGCAGAAAATACCTGAGACACACACTGGGGTGGGCGCTGCAGTGGGGGTCGGCGACTGGGTTCCTTCGCCTCCTCTGCCTGCTCCGTGCTGTGTGACCTCGGGCGAGCCCCTCGTTCTCTCTGGGCCTGTTTCCTTACGTGTAAACTGAGGTTATTGGATTCGATTGATCCCCTGTCAACTCTGACCTTGAATCTAACATTGAATCTGGGCAGTATATGTAGACACCTGGGTATTGTCTTCTATTTCTAGCACTTAATAGATCCTGGACCTTTATATGCATTTACATCCTTATCTTTTAAACATATTTAAGGTATGGCTGCTTCAATTGTATCACTGTTTTAATTGTCTGAGGACTTCATTTAAGCGGTGTCAGGATGTTTCTTGGCCCGAATTATCCTGATAAGTGCCCATTTGCTTAAACTTTTTTTTTTTTTTTTTTTTTAAGAATCAGACAACCTAGAAAACTTCATTCACTTTGCAGTGTAGACGCCGCTGGGGAGGACCCGTGTCATGGGGCCAGAAAGAACTTAATGGATGCTCATGTGGGAAGGCTTAGAGGAGAAGACCCAGGCCCCGGACTGCGGTCAGTGTCAGAGAGAGGATCCGCAAGAAGGACCGAGGCTGGAGAGGACTAGAGAGAAGACTGCTGCTGGGTACACTCTGAGCTCCCCCTGCAGGGGTGGCCCCTGACCAGAGGCCCCTGATAGACGCTGTCTTGAAAGCAGAAAAGGCAAGGTGTTGAGAGGCCAGTGTAGGATAGCTCAGACCTCAAGCCACTTTCCCTTGAACTCCCCATGAAATTAATGAAGCATGGAAAGCGGGAGAAATGGGCAATATTTTGCTCGAGTAACGCGGGGATCGCGGATAACTTCTGCTGGAGTTGGGCGTTTGCGCATCTGGAGGAGAGAGACTCCGCGCTGTGGTGTCTTTCGCAAGGCCTGGCGCTTGAGCTTGGACTGCCCCGGCGCAAGTGAGGCGTGCGGGTTAGGGAGCCCCCAAAGGTCCGCGCCCAACAGAGCAGCAGGCAGGGCCCGCTGCTCTCGTCTTCAGCTCCTGAGCGGCCGCTCACGGCCGGCCGGATGGGCTGCCTCTTCCCGAAGCTGGGGGGAGGCCGTCCATCTCCTCCCCTGGGAATCGAGACTCCCCTTGGGACACCCAAAGTGGCTGCCACTTTGAACCCGGGACAGTTTGCTTTTGGAATGGAGGGCACATTTCTGGTCTTTCCGTCTGCGAGTCGGGGAATCGTTCTGGGACCCACCGACTCCTTGTAGCTGGTGAATTTCACCCTGTTGACAACCGGCACCGGCGTGGATTCAGGGCCAGGGGTTAGTGTTCCTATTTAGAGACAGGAAAATCAAGGGTTGGGAGGTCTGGTCGCTAGTCCTTGTGAGCGGCAGTCTGAAGGTGAACAGAGGCCTGAGGGGTCGCTCGGTGGCCTAGCCCTGCTGTCCTGGCGGTCTGTGCGGCTCGGTGTTTTTCAGCTGCACGCGCAAGGGGCTGGCGGGGATTTGGCGGTCCCGATTGTCTGCGCCACGGGTCTCAGACCTCTTGTGACACCTGCCATTTCCCAGCTCCTCAGGCCTGACCCGTGGAATTCCGAACTCTGCGCTTTCTGGCCTCTGTGTCGTGGCCCTGGAGTCAGCTGTCATCCGTCTGAGCCAGGTCGGCCTGGGAAATGGGGAGCTCCAGGCCTCAGCCTAGCGTGGCCGCACGTGACCCCGGGGCTGGAGCTGCGGGCTGACTGGGGTGGCCGCGTGGACACTACCCTCCGGCGGGACCGAGGAGCAGCTGCTGGGAGTCTGTGTCCATCCCGCTGCTCCTGGACATTCCCAGGCGGCACGGAACTCAGATTTCGGGGATTAAGATCAAGCCCCCGGAGGCGAGTGCGCCGCGGAGAGCAGACGGAGACTGGGATTCTTCCAGAGCCGCCAAAAAGTCCGCGCGCTGGACAGAGAACTCAGCTCCAACTTGGGCGGCTCAGATCAACCCCAGTGGTGGGACTGACATAGGAAAACGAACGGATTTATTTTAAATATTTCTCACATTTCACTCAGATGTTGCCGGTCTACAGAGCGAGATAGGAATAGAGAGAAGGAAAGAGATAAGGAGAGGGAGGCTGGAGGAGAGAGACAGCGGGAGGGAGGAAGGGAGAGAGAAAGTCAGTGATGAGGGTCCCTTTCCTCCAAAAGCCAAGGCAAGGATGATAAGGAGTAGACAACCAGTGTACAGGAGGGCTTGCTCTGGGCACGGCTCTGAGCTCTCCATCTTTACAGTTATCTATTCAGGTAGTAATATCATCCTCTCCAGTTTATAAAGGAGGAAACTGAGGTACGGAGAGTCGTAAACTAGCCCAAAGGCATACCTCCAGCAAGTGGGAAATGAAGACTGCAACCTATGCCCAGCTCTGGAGGAGCCAGATGGGGACCGGTTTGCTCAAAGGACTATCGAAGTCCCCCTGCAGGCCCCAGGAGGATGGGGTTATAATTTCCCCGCACAGGGGCGAGGCCTCCGCTCTCCCAGGTGCTCAAGGGGGCCTCGATCCCTCCAGCGGCCGGCGTTTGCCTGCCGGGGTCCGTCCGGGGTGCCCTTCGCCCGCGCGCCGTCCAGGCCCGGCCGGGGCAGGGCGAGCGCCGCGTCGGGCAGGTCTCCCGTCCTCGGCCGGAGACGACCTTGCCTTTCCTTCCCCCGGACGAGCCAGCCCAGCCGGAGAGCAGCGCGGAGGCCGCAGCGTCTCCTTTCTGGTCTTGTCCGTGTTCTTCCCTCGCGCTGCCGAGCCCAGTGACCCCGGAGAGGGCCGAGCGCATCGGGCGGGCGGCGCGGGCAGAGACGCTGGTCCGGGCAGGCCCGCTGGCCCGCGATCCCCGGATGCGGCATCCCAGCCCGGCGTCCACGCTCAGTGGCTGGTCTCAGCGACTGCGAGGGTGCTCATCAAGGTCTAGACTTTTCCAGACTTGCTTCTGGGTAGCAGGCGAGGACCCCGACTGGGACGCGCAGGGAGCTCGGGTCCCATGGAGACGAGAAGTCTCCGGCCTTCCCCAGACCCGTGCCTTAACTGGCCTGGCGCAGACGAAGAGGGTCTCGGGGGAGGTTGAGGCCCGTGGCAAAATCTCGAGGACCCAGCGTCTCTCAGCCGCGCTGAGGCGGTCGCCCCTGGGAATGGCTCCACTCCCAGGCCCCGGCAGTCCGTCGGGGGTCAGGGTCACCACGGTCGCGTGCAGCACCTGGACGAGGATGGAAGCGGGGATGGGGAGGAAAGGACGCGCATCCTGCGGGACGGAAGGAAGGCACCTAGGACCAGCATTGCCAGGAGGCTTAAGACCCCCATCCCTCCCTTGACCCCAGGCAACCCTCAGGCCAACGGGAAAGACCTCGGCCCCGAGCCTGCGCCTGGTGCCACGCAGAAGGCGTTTCCTGTTGGTTCGACTGCACTTGGGCCGGGTGAGAGGACTTCCCGGGCAGAGAGAAAGGGGCAGCCTCGGCTTACTTCAGGAAAGCGCAGGTGCGCAGAGAAGAGCGCGCTGGTGCGCCCCAGGGAGGGGAGTCCTTCATCTCTCTCCTCTTCCTCGATCCTCGGATGCTCGGCCATGGCTCCCTCCCTCCCTTTCTCTCCGGGAGCTTTCCCGTTTCACCAGGGGGGGCAGAACAAGGGGGCTTGCAGCTAGAGGGTCTTGTTGTCTCCGAGGTGGGACCTATGGCTTCTCAAGGCCCCTCCAGTGCTCTTGGGCAAGGAGAGAAGCCCCGATGCCGGCCAGAGGAGCACCTGCCGGCCCGCTCCTCGCCTCTATTTTAACAGATCTCATTAGGAATCGTCAACTGCCAAAACCTTCCTATCAGAAGCTGCCTTAGTTTTGGGAATCACAACGCTGGGGTTTTATAGGGAGCTTTAATGGAGAGGTTTGGAAACGGACCGACCGGGTCAGCGGTTCTGAAAGTATGTGAACTTGACATAGTTTTGGTGTTTTTTTGAAAGGTGTTTGGACCTTGAGCCAAAATACATCAAAGAAGAGATCCCCTCCCACCCCCAGCTTACAGGTACCTTGACAGTGGGGCTCTGGGGTGGAGGGTGCAGAATTCATAGGGAGTAGGGGGGCTTATTTATCTTGGCTGGATGGCCGGAGAGAGTGAAAGCCCAGGCTGTGCTGCAGCCCCTCCTCTCCATCCGCCTTCGGTGTTTCTCTCTTCCCCTGTCAGTCTCTCAGCTATCAAGTGTGGACTCGACAGGAATGTTGCAAGGAAAAACTAATTAAACGGCAGTACAATGCTTTGAAAATATTAAGTGTCATGTAAATGCCTAATGCTAATAATAATCTTGATGGTGGTAATTATGTGCCAGGAAGCACATCCCAGACAGCCCAGCGCTGAGCCCAAAAGTGCGTGTCTAGGAGGATCCGAGGGAACGCCCATCCTTTCTGCTGCCGAGCCTCAGCTCTGAATGGCCAGGTGTCAGGTGGGAGCTCAGGGTCATGCCCTCACCACCTGGGAGGCAGACCAGATTTAATCCTGGTTGCAAGTCCTTAAGTTACCGCCCTCTCTGACACTCTGAGCCCCATCACCTCGAGTAAAGTGGGATATTCGTGACTCCCAGGGTGTGGCCACCCCACACGTTGGATTCTGCTTCCTCAGAGGCTCTGACAGGCTCCAGGGTGCGTTCACGTCAAGGTCTGAGCTTTGAGAGCTGAGTGCCTTCTGTGTTCCAGAGCTTGGTTACGACATGGCCTCTAGGTGGGTTACCCTTCACGTTTAAAGAGAAGGTAATCTCTTAGGGGACACACATCCCTCAGTCTCCTTTTTCTGTCAACTCTTGATGGGAGGAGTGAGGGGTTCTCGGATCTTCCCTGAACATTCTTCTAGTGTGGTGAAGCACCAGGCCGGCCCCGGGACTTAGAGTGGCCTTATAAGGCAATTTCGCCACCACCGTCCCTCACCCATCCTTTCTGACCACGCTCCCCCCCGCCGCTGGCTTGGAGATTTGGGGCACAGACATCTGCCAAACCAGGAAGGCTTTGAGGGCGGCAAATTACCCTGACTCACGACGGACGCTTTTGGGAATTTCCACCCCAGAAATTGCTGGGTCTTTCAGGGGTTTTGTCATTCACCTCAATACTTTAACGACACTCTTCATTGTTGAACTTGCCCTCCTTTCATTTCTGAGTGACTTAGAGAATAGTTACCAGTTCTCCTCCAGCTGCCTTTTCTTGTCTTCCCCAATTTGGTTCAGGTTCAGGTTTTTCTGCTGTGGGATGACAGGCCCTTTCCCATCCGGAAGGCGTATAGCTGACTTTTTAAAATTATTATTCAGAAGAAGCAAATTCTTGTCTAAGGTTTAAAAAAAATGCTTTGCTTTATTTGCGTTAGGCTTCAATGACTCAAAAAATCTTACCTTTAAAAGTGAAACTTTTTACGTATCCTACAGAAACAGGTGGCTTCCTAGGTAATTCTTCGTTTAGAAAGACGCTCAAATAGGATGCTCTCAGCAGCAGTAGTGTTAAAGTTTGGGTTTAGGCCACGTGGGCTTTCCTGGTCAAACTTTGAGGGGTTCATAAGATCAGACATTGACAACACACACACGCACACACACGTGCACACACAAATGCACAGTTAAAAGGAACTCTGGAGTTTTCCCATTTCACTCTTTCTTGTCCCAATATAGGCTTTGCCTTTTTTTTCTTCTTTATGATGAGAAGCCTGGGTGTCACTGTGCCCAGCCGCCTCATCTATTTCTAGTTGGGAGATGGAAAAGTGTGTGACCTGTGCAAGCTCACACCAGCAGTTAGTGGCAGGCAGAGACTGACGTCCAGGCCAATGCCCTTTCTGCCACATCGTCCACCTGCCGCTTCTCTGGCAAGGAGGAAAATCCACACAGAAGACCCCTCGCAATTCCCACCTGTGACCTCAGGAGTCAATAAATCCTGCAATTTAAAAATAGGATTCTCCCACTGACACCCCCAACCTCACAGGCCGCCTCGAAGGCATGCAGGCAGTTTCCCAGGCCAGGTGGCACAGTTACACATCCAGGACAGGGGGCCCTTGAACCATAATGTCACCCCTGCCCCGGCCTTATTTTCTGCCTTGAGGCTGCACCCCAAGAATCACCTCAAGTGAATGGGAGCGGTGGTCTGGAAGCCTGTGGGGAATTTGTATGAGTACATTGTTTGGTAACATTTTAACAAATTTGTTTCACTCAGCTCCACTGAGACTCTTGCTGGCATCATAAATGACTTTGTTCCCAAATCAGATAAGGCTCTGGGGAGATATACTTTGTATTGCAGATAAGTTTTTAACAACAGCTGCTGCGCCGACCTTTTTGTTTTCAGGAAGACATTGTTCACCAGAAAACATTGCTCCTCCAGGAATTTTATAGGGAATTAAAACAGAAATGTTTTGGCATTTTGGTTCCCTTTGGTTGGTGGTAGGGGAGCATGGGGTGGAGTCAGGTTCGGGATTACAGGGAGAGAAGGGAGGAGAGGACAGGCTGGGAAGAACAGAGCATCCTAGTGTGAGAAGCCGGCTCAAGCTCTTGGACTCTGCCCTGAGCATGGGGGCCCGGCCGGCCTTACTGAGTGCTTCGCATCACCTTGCACTCTGGGCTCCCATTCTTCCTTTGGCATCTGTAATTCTGCTCTGGCTGCTGTGTTTGCTTTGGGCTGTGGGTACCCACGCACTGTGTTTAATAATTTTGGTGAACTTGTTCAAAAACCTTCTGATCTGAGCATGCTGTTCGGGAAATGGGGCTTCTGTTCCAATGTGGCAAGACCACGTCCTCCTCCACGGGCTGTCAACACAATGCCAGACTCTGAAAAACAGTCTCTCCAGAAATTCAGATGTTTCCACACTGTAAGCTGTTTGGCACTAGGAGCCGCAGTGTCCAGCCTTCCTCCAGATAATAGCATGTTATTCAGCCCCACAATGGCTTGGGGAAATTGAGTTCACCTTCCCCTCCCCACAGGAGTCCTTAGAGCAGAGTGGGTCAAAGGCCTGGAGAAACCACCAAACCGAAGTCCTCCCAAAGCCTGGGGGGTGCGGGTAGGAGGTGGGGGAGGAGGAAACGTGGAGACATTCCCATTTCTGACCAGTGGAAACTGCCCCAGCACATGCGGATGAGAGGACTCGGCCCTGTGTGGATGGGCTGAGCCGGTCTAGGGTGGAAGGAATGCGTGCACTAGTGCTCAGAGAGGCAGGGGGCTGGCCTTGCTCCAGCACATCTCCTGGGAAGCTAGTCTGATGGTAAGGCTGGCAAGCTTGGCTGTCCTGAGCATTCCCAGTATGGGGTCAGGGAACCTAATTGTGGTTGGGGCGGTGGGGGGGGGGGGGTTGGTTATAGGGCCTTGAACTCTCTTTGCTATGGCAAGTCTCTGGTGGGTCAGAGAAGCCATTCCTCTGTCCTCTTGGGCTGTACCCTTTGCCATGAAAGGAGGACATCGTGGCCCACATTTTTCCATAAACTCAGATCCCAAGTCTCTGGCTCATGAGTAAAAAAAGAGAAATGCGTCACATTTAGGCTTTAAAAGATATGAAGCCTAAAAGGAGCTGAGGGTGGAATCTCAGGCATTATCCAGCAGGGGGCAAAGAATTTGAGGGAGGCCAGGCTATCTCAGAGCTATCTGATGAATTCGCCTTGGTCCTGATCTCCCTGCACTGTATATAAACTGCTTCTTAGAGCTGACGCATGCGAGTTTGTTTCTGTCCCACCCACTAGGGTGGCCACTGGCTGCATGTGGCCACTGAGCACTTGAAATGTGGCTGGTCTGAGCTGAGATGTGCTGTCAGTGGAGAGCACACACCACATTTCAAAGACTTAGCACAACTCTTCGTGAAAAGAATGTGATGTATCTCATTAACATCTTTATACTGATTATGTGTTGACATGATAACATTCTGAATATGTTGGGTTAAATAAAATATATTATTAAAATTAATTCCATCTGTTTCTTTTTATTTTCCTCTAATGTGGCTATTAAAACATTTTAAATGCCATTCTGCTCGCATTCAGAGCTCACATATTTCTGTCAGACAGTGCTGGTCTAGGTTGTCCCTTCCCATCTGAAACTATTTTGGGGAGCTGCTCATTCATGCCCTGCTCTCGTTAGCCGCATGCATGGAGGCAGCTCAGAGCTTCAGAAAAATATCCTCTCTGCTAAATGGGAACTGAGGGGCAGAGTCCACTAGGAGCCCTAGCCGATTCATTTCCAAATACTGGCTTCTGGCGACATCGTGTGGCCACTTCTTGGTACTACACCAACCACGGGCTGTGTGCAGGTCCTCAGCACCCTGGTCCTGGTGTAACACACCACTTGCTGTAGTTACCACATCAGATGGGCCAATTAATCAGAAATTCTCAACTTGCAGAAGAATGTGTTTCCTCCCTTAATTTCTCCTCTTGTTCCTCTCTACCTCCTTCCAGCTCTGCCACATCTGCAATGTTAGTTCTGACACACTAACCCACTGGGGGGTTTTCCTGCTTACCCGAGGAAACTGCTCTGGCGTCAGCTGGAAGATGGAGATCTGAGCCTGGGAACCTCGTGGAAGAGCTAAGCAGTCTAAGCAAAGTCATTCCTCAAGTACAAAACAAAAGGCTATAGCAGATGACCTCTAAGCTCACTTCTGGCTCCCCAAATCCATGAATCTGGGTGGAATTTGAGACGTCGGTGGAGATGACTCAAATGATGCCTCTGTGTTGGTGCCTACAAGAAAGGCCCAGTCTAGAGCCTAACTGGAGGATCAGGGAGGTGACCCAAACATGGAGCTGAGGTGACCTCCGAGGAGATGATAATACTCACAAACACAATCTCATTTAATCTTCACAACAATCCTATAGATCAAGCATTAATATGTCAACTTTAAACTAGTTAATATAATATCAGACACATACTATATATATAAATATACAACATGTGTGTACGAAAGTGTAAGTTTACCATCATAATACTATGGTGAACACCTATGAATGACCCCAAGAACTAGGACACCAGTGCTGACCGGCTTCCCCATGTCTGTTCTTCCCCCATCTGTTTCCCTCTGTCTGCCCAGAGTACTCACTATCCGAAAGTCTTTTTGCATGTCTTCGCTTTTTTAAAAACTGGTTTTATTGTATATTCTTGCATTTTACTTCTATTTGTGGTTCATAAGAATGGTGTTCTATGGTTCTATGAGACTTGTTTTTTTCACTTAACATTATTTTTCTAAGATTCGTCCATGGAGTTGAGCCGTGTTCGCAGCTGTATATTTCACCGTTGAAATGTACTTCAGTTTGATTATCCATCCTCGTCAACAGATGTTTGGGCTGTTTCTAGTTGTTTGCTTTTGTGAGCGTCCTCATTTGTGTTTCTGGGTATCCATGTGTAAAGATGCGTCTGGCAGACTGTAAGAAGACCCGTGGTCCCCAGGCGCGGGGGAATGCGAATAGGAGAAGCACACAGGATGTGTTAGGGTGGCAGAACTATTCTTGAATGGGGGTAGAACTATTATTAAGCAGTTTCACCACCTAAAAGTGGATATTGTGGTGATGGATACATGACATTATGCATTTCTCAAATCCCATGGAACTTTATGGCATGAAGAGTGAGCTTTACTATATATAATTTTTTAAAAAATCATTTAGGAGTCTGAGGGATCCTTTGAAGGAATGCAGACTGTGACAAGACAATCTAACTATATTGCAAATGAATGAACCAACCCCACCAAAGTGGGTGGGGGAAAGGCGCTGAGCTAAGCAACCTTGGAAATAAGAAAGAGCGAAGGCAAACGGGTCTGCACATAAGCACTGGACTCTGGCTAATAAAGTTGTTTCCCATGGGGGAATGCGCTAGGAACTCTGATATTGCTAGACATGCACACTGGAACTGAACAATTAAGTAAATGGATAGCAGATGGTGGGAGCCAGGCTTCTCTCTGTCAGAGTGGGAATTTAGATAATCATGGCAAGGAAGCTAGAATGATCCATGTGGTAATGGGTTAGAGTTGGAGACATTAGTATGAACTCCTGTTTAGCTTAACAAAAATACAGATGTTACATATAGAAATATTTATAGATATGTGTATATACACAGGTTAGTATGCACACACATTTCCTGTTCTATCCGCTGTGAGAGCCTAGATGCAAAGACACCCCAGTAGCAATAACCATACTAGCACCCATCTTGGTTTCCAATACTGTTCTCTATTCAGAAGCCAGGGCTCCTTGGAGAAATGGCTGATTGTAGAACCGAGACAGGACATACACAAGATGAGCTTGGAGCATCTTGTGGCGCTAGAAAGTAAGGAAGTGTTCAAAAAATTGTAGGAAACCTGCATTGGTAGGGATATGCCAAAGAGACACAAGAGCTAACTGAAAGAACTCCCAATGGTAAAGCTGGAACGATTTGAGCTACAAAATAAAGTAGCATTGGATCATAATTCAAAGTATAAAATAAATATTAAAGAGTCCATCCTGATATAAATAAATGATTGAATAAATAAACGAATTGGGGAGAAGAAGCGAATCTCCCTCGCCGAAAATTCCAAATAATTTATATACATACTTCACCCTCCAGGAATAGGACCATACCCCATCTCGTAAGTGTGCACTGTGCACGGTAACTTCCTTCCCAAGAGGGCAGCGTGCAAAGGGGTGAGGGGAAGAATCGCTTGACAGTGATAACCCGGCAAACGCTCCCTCAGCCGGGTGGTCAAGGTCAATATCAGCAGTGATAAATCGTGTAGTATATACTCTTAATAAAACGACAAAAATGGCACCTTACCTCTCTGCTCTTCCTTCCAAAAGCCCATAAGCCCAGTTTAATCATGAGGAGGACGTCAAATAAATTCTGACAGAGGGACATTCTACAAAACACCTAATCAGTACTCCTCAGAACTGTCAAAGTCAGCAAAAATGAGGTCACCTTACATCACACTAATACTAGGGGAAACTCGGTAAGGGGACGTATGGGAACTCTCTGTACCATTTTCTCAATTGCCCTGTAAATTTAAAACTTTTCTAAAAAATAGTCTGTTAAAAACGTTGTGGGTCAAAAAAGTTATGGGTAAAGACAAAATGGGGCTGTACTTAGATCAGCGTGGGCAAACTTTGTCAAAGGCCAGTTTGTAGCTATTTTAGGCTTTGTGGGCGTTGTGGTCCCTGCTGCAGCTCCCCAGTGCTGCTGTTGAGGGCCACAAGCAGCCATTGGCCACAGGTGAGCGGGTGAGTGTAGCTGAGTTCCAATGAAATGTTATTTAGTGAAAACAAAACAGAAACAGCCCACGAGCAGTGGTTTGCCGACCCTGCTATCCATATATACCCAGAAGTGGAATTGCTGGGCCACGGGTATCCAAATGCTCAATTTTGGAAAATGTCAAATTGTTTTCCCAAGAGATTGCATCAAATAAACAGGCATCAGAAATGCAGTAACATATAAGTTCCTGTTAATTCGTATCTTGTCCAGAACTTGGCTGTTTTTTCTAAAATGATGTCTCACTGGGTTGTTATTTTGCATTTTCCTGATTCTAATGGGGTGGTTTATTGTGTTCACGGCTTTTGCTCATTTTCTGCTGCATTGTCTATTTTTTTTTTTTTTTTTTTTAGTGCATTCGCAGGAGCTCTTTGTATATTCCAGACCAGTTATAGATGTTGCAAATATCTCCTCCCAATTTGTGGCTTGTCTTTTCACTTTCTCCTTGGTGTCTTTTGACGAGCAGAGTTCTTAGTTTTCATGTAGTCAGGTTTATTAATTTTCCCTTTTTATAGTTAGTGCTTTTTCTCTCTTGTTGAGTAAATTGTCTTGTACTCAAAGTCAGAAAGGTACTTCCTCTATTTTCTTTGAAAAGCTTTGATATCATGCCTTTCACCTGTAAGTCCGCAGGACATCTGGAATTTACACAAAATCCAGAATGTATACAAGAGGAAAGGATCCAATTTTATTTTTTCTGACTGGATAACCAGGAGCCCCAGTCCCAGAGCCTCCTCCCCTGCTGTCTGCAATGCCACCGAGTCACGTCACAATTCCAGATACAGGAAGTCTAGCACTGGTGGCTAGTTTCTTTCATTTGTCATGTAATTTCTATAACATTATGATAACTCTTGGTATCAAATTACCCCCAACCTATTCTTTTTCAGGAATATCTTGACTACTTTTAGCCCTTTGGACTGTCATAAATTTTAGAAAGTCATCTTGTCAAGTTTTATGAAAAAAGTCCTATAGGGATCTTATTGGGAGTGCATGGAATCCATA